TATGTACAGGAGTCTGTAATAGTCAGAAAATTCATGCAACCACATTAAACATATAATTTGGAATTCTAAGGAGTTGTCAAAAAATATCCATTTAGTAGTTTTCAATTCAGATTGATAGTTAGGACAGATATACTTATGTACAGGAGTCTGTAATAGTCAGAAAATTCATGCAACCACATTAAACATATAATTTGGAATTCTAAGGAGTTGTCAAAAATATCCATTTAGTAGTTTTCAATTCAGATTGATAGTTAGGACAGATATACTTATGTACAGGAGTCTGTAATAGTCAGAAAATTCATGCAACCACATTAAACATATAATTTGGAATTCTAAGGAGTTGTCAAAAATATCCATTTAGTAGTTTTCAATTCAGATTGATAGTTAGGACAGATATACTTATGTACAGGAGTCTGTAATAGTCAGAAAATTCATGCAACCACATTAAACATATTCATTCTCACTCAACTTAGTGATTTGTACTAAGCCTAACGCACCCACCCATTTTCCCGCTGAACTACCAGTGTCTAGTTTCTACAGTGATCAAACTAGGCACTAAAAACACTTTTTCTGTTTTCAAACACATTCAAGATTTTAAAACAGCTAGTAAATCTTAGGTAATCCATCAACCAACACAGGGGTAATAAAATTTCATTCTGAATTTTTGTAGTCATTCACCCCCTGAGAATTAGAGGAATAACAAAAGGCAAAAAGACCCTACCTAGCAACTACAGACCGATTGCACTGCTATATATTATTTCAAAGATCATGGAGAAAGCTATCAACATCGAGCTCATGAAATACCTGGAACATTCAGGTATTATCAACGATAGGCAATATGGCTTCCGTCATCAGTGATCAACTGGTGACCTGCTCGCTTACGTCTCACATATATGGCAGCAATCTATTGAAAAATATGGTGAAATCTTAGCCGTGGCACTTGATATCTCCAAGGCTTTCGACTCAGCACTCGGACTCTTCGCCAAGCTTCTATCTTATGGCTTGCCTACTTTTCCGTCTGACCTAGGTATAACTCTTAAAATTCTACCTAATTCCCATATTAAAGGTGGTGCATTATCTTCTCTCACTAGAACCATCATGTTCTCTTTGAGATTATCTATTTGCTAATCCACTCTGGCCTGTTTTGCAATCTGTAGAGATATTATATTGAAAATCTTTTGCAATAGCATTATCTAATTTCATTACATTGTTCCCAAAATGACAGTCGATTATCAGAAATGTTCGAAGCGTCTTTTTCTGGAAACGAGGTGAGCTGTTTTCTGATAAAAAAATGGCAGGGTGTCAAACACAAAAAATCTGAAGGATCAGCAGATCAAAGTGGGCGTGAGTTTAAAATACTCTCTATTTGAGCAAAAACTTTGTTGTTCGAATGTAAGTATTGCACTACCAACAATACGGCTTGAGTGAAATTTGGCCGATTTGATACCAGCCTCCCAAAGGCCTCCCCAATGAGAGCTCACAGGAGGTATACATTTCCATACAATTCCTACGGAAGCTAAATAGTTTCAATTATCCTTGAGTTATCTTCTTGTTCATCAGTAGCGTTGTCACTAAAAAACACGAATGCTAACCACCACGCGCAATGAATCTTTTTAGAGGGACCAAAAATGCATCAGTAGTGAGACTGGATAAAAGTTCTGCATGTATAGCCTGTGTATTCATACAAATGAAAAGTGCAATATATATATACCTTACGTAAGCTAGGTTCCTTTAATTTCAAAGGGTCTCCGAAGTCTTTTTCGAAATCAAAGAAAGGCCTAACCATTGATACGCGTTCAGAGAGTAAAATTCCCTTCACCTGACTGAACAGCTTTGAATGCAATTATTGTGTATTATCTTCTTCACTTGTCTCAATCCATCTTGTAGGCCAATATCTAAGACGTTGTGAGTACACACTGAGGACCAGCATGCTGAAATTTAAGGTGCTAGTGGAGTATGAGAAGATTAACGAAACATTTGTTAACTAGCAAAATAATAGGATGTTTTTGATCGAATGATATAGGAGCATATTGCAAACGACCGCCAACACGCAGTATGCTGTCTTCATCCTAAAAGGGACTTGATGATTGAAAAGAACTATTTTTTATAACCTCATTAGATAGAATGAGAACTATTTCAGCATGGAAATAGGTCTCGAGAACACATTTAATTAAAGTTTTCAGTGAATTATGTAATTTGATTGCAGATGAAGGGCCTCGTTTTTTGCCATTATGGTTTTCGCAATTATGCACAAATCACAAAAATCTCGAAATAAATTCAATATCTACATTACTCCGAAAACGAACAGTAACATGTTTTTGAGAATCTCTAGGGCATTCTTGGGACTAGATTACCAGAGGAACGTAACTTGAATATTTTAGATGACATGAGGCAGAGATTGAATCAGATTCAAAAGTATGGGCCGTCTCTGCCAAGAAGTTATTCATGTCCGAGGCGGAAATACTCGCTATTGACCGATTCGTTTAACTTGCGATTTCGCATTCTGTATCGTTTTTTCGTTGTTTAATTTGGATAATAATTTTCCATAAAATCATGTTACGCTACAAAGTGGTGTGTCTCGAGTAAATGAAAAATAATGGAGTGAATAACAAAAAATGTTGAAGAAAGATAAGGCTAAAGTGTAATTTCAATTCTAACTTCATTGTGCAACTCTGACATTGTGCCACTGAATGCTTAGAACTAAAATAGTTTGAACAAAGACTGTTTATAATGACAACTGACTTACGGTCAACTGTGGGTGCTTTTGCAAATTTGAAGCACTAATGAATCAAAGGAAAGAAGGAACGCTCAAAGTCATCTCCACAACTTAAATAGGTGTGGAGATGAATTTCCTTCTTTCCTTCGAAATATTCCACTCCACTTTGAATAAACAACATCAAGAGATTGCACTTATAAATTTCAAGATTTTTCAATTCACAGAACAAACAATTTTGAGGGTGGTGAGGTGTATAGTGTATGTGTATAATTCGGAATGGATCGAGTTTCATTCGCAATATGGGAATACCGAATAAACTTCAATTCAATATCAGAGATAGTTGATAATGCTCCTATTGTGGAGCAACGTTTTTCTAATAAATTGAGAAAATCTAAAACAGGAGGCACATCAGCGTCTCTTGTTCAAATAATTGTCGTGTTTGATAATCTAAATTCTTTGTATTAATAAATATCAAGAGTAAAATAAATTTTCTACTGGAACCTCGAGTGCGAATTCAAATGTTTAATACATTATTGTATGAATAAATTGTTATTATTTTTGGTTATTTGAGGAACCTCCATAAGTCCTTTTATATGAGCGTTCATTAGCAACAATTTTTAATCGAAGTCTATATCGTTTCATGCGCAGTTAATTTTTTTATTTATTAATAATTAATTATTATAAACAAATTAGGTATTTCGGATTTCACGAGGTATAGAAGAGGCCAATTTCAATGGGTTAAAGCCCATTCCTCTTCCTATCAGTTGTTCTTTCATTTAGCATGACTTCAGACCATCTCCATTCATTCAACGAATTAGGCGTTTCATCTGTGATTGGACTTAGGGGCGGCTTTTCACACGCTAATCGACGTGCTTCTTGTGATTGGAGGTGGTCCAGGATCACTAAGACGAACTTCAATTGTTCATTGATTTTCACTTAATTGTTATAAATGAATTATACGTTATATCGGCGGTCGGTAAAACGACTACTGACCAGCCGATTTTGACGAAGTAAATGGTGTTGTGTTGTACTTGTTGTAGGTATACGAGTAGTTCAAGTCCAGCAGCACAGTTCCAGTAGGTCTTCGAAGGATCCTTATTTGTTTATTGTTCTGTTTTTCAATTGAATTGGTACTAGTGAGATTATTGACGTATATTTTTAATTGTTTGGTCAGTTGTTATCAGTTAGTGGTGAAACACGAGTAAGGTGATGAGTATAAATCCTGAATCCTGAAATACATCAGTTTATTTGCAGTAATTCAAGTTTCGATAGTGATATTTTACGGGATGAGTAGGAACTTTCAAGGACGAGCCGTAGATGAGTCCTGGAAGTCCGGTTAAATCACTTGGTTCGTGTTTCGTACAATATTCTGTCTGTAGCCATTTTTTGGATTTGAAAATCATAAAAACACATACCAATGTTACATGACAAGCACTGTCAAAATCGCATACAAAGTTCATGTTATTGTCGAAACCGCCTACATAGATACCCAAAGTCGTAAAGAAATCGTTCCGAAAGTGACAAAAAATCGTCTCGAAAATAGTTACTTCCGGTACCATATTTGTGGAAAGTGGTACTTTCGATTTGATAAATTATACCGAAAAGTTTATATTCGAGGCGGCTGCAGCAAAATGAATATTTCACATCTTCGATTGATTCAAAGACAGTAAATTTACTATTTGCGATGTAAATGAGAAGCGCTCTTTCAAGTGAGACATGTTGTATACAGATTGTTTGCCCAATCGTTACATATAGGGCATGTGTATGGCAACATGATTCGGCTATCGCACGTCTTCGCTAGTCTCCGCTGGAATATAATAATAATAATAATAATAATAATATAATATATAACAGAATTAAAACTAAAAGTCATTATGTGCTCAACTGTCTAACGGTGAGCGCAGCTCTGCGATGTTGCCAACTGCCATCCTTTCTTAATAACGATTTGAAAAACAATATGAATGTCTTTATGATCTTGAAGTGACAGTTGGAACGAAAATTATCGTATTCATCATATGCAAATAAGATGTATGCTACTGATCGTAATCATGAAATCTTCATTTTTCTAGACCTACACGTGTGTAAAATTCTCACAGGATTTTCTCGAAATTATCACTGAATGGGAGGTAGAGTTGTCCATATATAACATTGGTCTTATCATTACAGAGAATTTTCAGTTAGAGATGATTACCTACAAATATTTCATTTCGAAATACCCAAACGATCTTCTATCACCTACATAATTGTGTACATGAAACATTACTGACATTTTCCTTACTTGTAGGTAAAAGCAGTCTTTGCAGCAGCCAATAACCTCAAAATGGAAAGAGTTTCAAGACAATGTGCTCATCATCTCATCAAACATCTGTCTGTGGATAACTGTATTGATATACGGTCTCTGCCAGGAATTGCCAGAAATAAAGAATTTATTCAACTAGTCGATGCATTTATTGCAAATCAGGTAACACTTTGATAAATTGAATTCAATGAATTAACCTTGTGATCATGAACATAAAGGAACCTGCCGTTATTTTGATTGGTTGAAAGATATTTCAGAAGGAAGGTAAACAACAGTTGAATCAACTTAATAATATATAGTAATCACTGTATCTTGGCCAGGCTACTCTTCTATTTCTGATTCAATATCCTTCCTTCTAATATAACCTTGCATATTTTTTCCAGCATCTTAGTATAGATCAATGATACAATATTCAATATCACAAGATTAATTCCAAAAACACTGACAGTATTACCAATTCTGCCAATAGACCATCTTATGCAGAATGTTGCCCAAGTTGGAGCTGATTCGGGATATCAACTTGAATATTCATTTATTGGCAACAGGAACAAAATGTCATGCGCAAAATTTTGAAATAAAATGTCATTCAAAAATAAAAATTGCTATTTGGTTTTGATTTAACTACTTTCATCGAGACAAAAACTATCAATCGGATATTAAATATTAGGGCTACTGGACGAAAAGTGAGTGCGAATATTAATAATTTTTTCACCATGATCCAACAGCGCAAATCCTTGTAGAATGAATTCTCCAAAGGGTCCATGGACAAAACTTACAAAGAATTGTGTCGATAACACAACCTAAATATAATGTTATGAAAGGTGAATTGAAGGCTTCTGCGGAAAAATATCAGATAATATGTTAGTGTTATTTGATTATAACAAACAGTAAATTTACCTAGACGTTTCAATATTTCATCAAACATATTGATTATGATGCTTGATAAATGTATAGTACTCTCGAGGCAAAGGAATATATTTCATAAAAACATGTAAACTAACAAATTCAAATTATTTATTTATCCAACATTCTACTGTTTGCTGTGTCAACAATTGATATGATCTATTCCATATTCAATGCTGTCCAGGGTCTTAGGTACTGCTAACATATATTTTTGAATCCCATGATACAAAATTAATTGTAAAATGCTTTTCACATATTCAATATTTGCTGTTCCTGTTAATGTTTGTTGGTTGATTTGATTTGTTCATTCCTCAATTACAAATTCTGTACCATCTCCCTCAATTCTTTCATTTCTTGTTTTGAATGGGTTATGACGAGGGTTATGATGTCTGAAAAAATAAAAGTGCACTCATCATGCGATGGGTTTTTTTCGAAATTTTTTTCATGGCACTTACGTATTTTTGTCTCAAAAACACGAATTTCACAATGAAACTGTGAACAAACCGCTATTTATCGAGATATTTTACGAAAAAATTCGAAATTCCGCATTCTTCTGCCACCCATCTTGGATACTCATTTACAACTACTTGTCCTTCTTTTTCCATCACTGGACACTTTATATACTCACGTTGTACTTCAATGACACATATTATTCATTAAAATCAACAAAAAGTTTTTTTTGAGACTTTTTAGTTAAGTTAATAATCACACCAGCTGATGGCCATTAAACACAACTAAGACATACGTCGCATGCATGCCAGAATTGATTCCACCGTAGGGGTGCATCTACGAGCTTTGGAGTGATGGCATTTGAATGACTTTCAATCGCAATCTTTTTGAATTTGAAATGATAAATTCCTCCTTCTTCAAACTTTTTCTACTTCAATGGTTGAAACTAGCTGTTGTACTATATAATGATTATCCTATATACCAACCGTAATCCGAACAATATTTAGCTGCAATGCAACAAACTCAAGTTGTTCCAACAATTCACTTCTACCGTAAGCCAACTTTTCCAATTTAAATTCAATATTCTTCTCATGCAAGTGTATTCGAACGTTATTCGAACATTACGGATAATTTTTTTTTCTGTCTCCTGAAAATGGATTTAATGTTGAGTGATTATATTTCTTCGGTAAAGACAAGAACTGAATTCATTAGATTTCTAATTGAAATCGGAATACTGGTAGAGTCTGTGGAATGCGAACGTTGTGAGAATATGTGCCCATTAGTGGAGGACTCCTTGAGATACAGATCTACCAAAAATGTAGTGGTGCGAAGGGGGCACGCATTAGGAAAAAAATTTGTTCTTTAGCGAAACCGCAAGACTACACACTTTTTTCGAGACTCATCTAGGACTCGACAAAAAAGGCCTTGTTTGTTGAATATGTTTCGTTGCTACCGCATCCTCGTCTCAAATTCCTTACGCAAGAATTGCAAATTTCAAAACACAGTGTGGTAGACCAGAGCAATTTTGTAGGGAGGTAAAATATCTGATAAACATCAGGTCATGATATCCGACATGCACATATATTATATTATTTGTAGGCTTGCATTGAGTGATGCATAACCAATTCAACTTTGCTAGGTGGAATTGGGAAGGTGGAAATTGATGAGGCCAAATTTTGGAAGATAAAGTATAATAGGTGGCATTATCGAGGGTCACTGGATTTTTGGGGGGATCAAGAGAGGTTCCAACAACATTTTTTTTGTACCAGTACCGAACAGGACCGCCGACACACTAATCGGTCTCATTCGTCAGTGGGTTAGGCCAGACACGACGATTATGTCAGATTGTTGGAGGGCCTATTCCAATCTAAATCAGGAAGGGTTCCAGCACTTGACTGTGAATCACAGCATCAATTTTTCACATCCTGAAACTGTTTTTTTCATTGAACTATTTCCCTGTAAATGAGTCTTTAAAATCAAAATTTCAGGTGCTCATACCCAAAATACAGAACGTACCTGTAGGGAAGTGAGGTCTGGTATCCCTCGGTATGGAAGGAAGAAGAACCGCATTGTAGGCTACCTCGCTGAGTTCATCTACAAAAGGCATTTCTCTTTCGAGAAGAGAATTTAAAATTCCTTTTTGACTACCAGAAATGAGTACCAAAATTATTTTTTATCAATTTTGTAATCAAATTATCACAACAGTAGAATCATAATATTATTGAAAGTACATTAGTTATTTATTTTCTCGACCTCTATCAAATGCTCAAATTACTCTTCTTTCTGGGTACTTCATTCAGATCTTCGTAAACGTTGGGCATTAGGCATTTACTAAAATACCCTTCACCCTAGCTAAAAATCTATATATATTATTATGAACTTGCACTCCGTTTAGGTAAAAGAAGGAACATATTTTTATTCCTTCTCCATATATACATGTGTTCGTGCTGGAGAGTACTCATATCGTATAACAGTTATCAACCATTCAAGCGGAAAAAGATTGAAGAAGGAAGAATATTATTGCAAATCCAAAATTATGGCGGGTCTAACGTCTTTCAAAAGCGATTGGCCGATAGCTTCGAGCTGTTACCAAGGAACGAGCTTTCAATTTTCAAAAAATTAACTCGTCTATTGTCAATGTCCTAGCGATATTACTACTGATAAGTGCCCCGGTAAATTGTGACTGTTGGAAAATCGAGTCACCATGGTAATAACATAGTATAACGTTAACTCACATTTTCAAAATGTCAGTCACTTCGAGTAGATATGGAAATTTCGAAAATGAATTGATTTCAATTGTATGAAGAAAATACCTCGACTATTGATAAATTCTCATAATCTGCTTCTAGAGATTCACTTTTAGGTAACAGCCCTCCGCCTTTTGCGAAAGTATGCGAAAAATTATTATCAATAGCCTTGGGATATTATAAGTGATAATCTTATGCTTAATCAACTCGGTTACATTCAAAAAACAAATCAAAGCAACTGTCAAAATTTTACTTTCTGGAATTTTCTTCCCAAATGTCTATGAAAATATATTAAAATGACAGTGTGTTCCCATGTTTTATTTATTTCACAGTCACTGATGCTTTAAACATGTAATGAGAGTGTAGGGTTAGACGACTATCGAGGATTTTGATTAGTTTTTTATCAAATTCTCTAAATGTTTACATTGTAGATGATAAATTTAGAAAAATCGACAGTTAATGGAGCTGCCTTTATTGCGTATTATAGTAAGATACAAAAAATACGTTCATGACATGGAAAACTAATATTATATGATTCATTTTGGAAACAGTAAATTATCATATTCTTCCGCAAAGAAGAACAAGATGATAACTTAGATGTTAAAAATATTGTATGTGAACAAATTCTAATGGTCACGAAATTTGGTTCTATTGTTTTCACACATCAACAATGGTTTTTGATTTCTTAATATTTAAATAAAAATTGTCATATAAAGAAACCAAGTGTATCTCCATCCAATCTCAAAATGTATTTAACACATCACTATATTATGTAGTTAGTGGAAGACAGCTTCAATGTTCTGAAAGTTTTATCACTTCTCGAACAGAAACACTTGTTTTATTTTTATGACAGCACACCCAATAGAAATTGGACTACGTATATTCATGTATTTATTCCAGTTCACAGAAATAAGCAAGAACAGTAATGTCTTGAACCTGTACTGTGCCCGAATTGAAGTGCTCAACCAGTCGCGCGAAGAAATGTCCCTCGTCAACGAAAACTCCCTGTGCCGCCTCGTCTTGGAATGGATAAAGCGCCAAATCAGCGACGATTCCATTAGCTCAAACATCCTATCAGAGAAAACTTTCATGCTGTACCTGGCCATGGATAATTCTCTCCAAGACTGTTCCAGTCTACCATCCGGCGATGCCAGTGACACAGAAATCGTCCAGGATTACAAGAAACTGTCCCTAAAAGATAAACAGGTAGAGATAGGCAATCAGGAATGAATACGCCCGTTAAGCGTACAAAGCGCCTTGAAAACACCAAATAACTCCATACTAGAAAGAACCAATTATAACATTCCACTTAAGAATACTTGATTCTTATACCTATATCAGTGTTGCTAGTACACTATGTAATAACACTCTTAATACAATGTTCAAGTTTCAAGTATTGATATATTACTATTATTATTTATATTCATGACAACAACATAAGATAGTCGTTTCATACAATGTGTTATATACAATATCTCCTAAAAAATGAGCAGTTTCTTCTTGCAAATCATGTTGAAAATGAGCATAGGCTAGAATGTTATCCATATTGACTTTTGTGATTTCAAAAGGCTCTTTGGTAACAAAATCTTTTCAGAATCGTTTGTTCCTTCATAAAATCCAATCTCCAATTCCTATTATCTGTGGTTTGGCCTCACGATTTCTATTTTTTTTTTATCTCTAATCCTCTCTTTATATTTCAATTGAGCTTGTTGTCTTAAGTTTTTCATGTTTACTGAAATCTATACCTAATCTTCCATCCGCATTTACATCCTTTTGTGCAAAATGAAATTTGGAGAACATCACAGAGGTATTCACCATGGGAAAAATTATGGTGACGAACTGCTACTTCTAGACATTATTACCAACCACCTCTAAATTTTTAATAACGTTTCATAAAAGTTTAGAGATCTCTGACTGCTCTTTTAGCTAATCCATGGCCAGCTAGATGATAGGCAGTTGTATGCATTAGCTTGATCCCTTCTTTCAATGCCCACCCAGAGAAAACACCTGAAGTTAAAGCTAATTGACGATCCGTGACAATATTTTTTATCTTGTTCTTGAATGGGAGTTGGTTGAAAAAATGATTCATCAACATTTTCAAGAATTCCAATACAAAGACAAGAAATGGCATGAGCATTCTTCAATTCTTTACCTGGCTCATGATTCATTTGCATGTCTAAGCCACTCAAGAAGATTTTCCATCTCGCTAGCCGGTCTTTCAAAGTTCCGGTTGTTGAATTATATTTCAAGACTCGATGATCTGTGTGCACTATGAACGTCTTTCCTTCTAAATATAACTGAAAATAATTCACTGCCTTCACTGCCGTCAAACATTCTTTCTCAGTAACTGAGTAATTCTGTTCACTCTTTGAAAAGGTGTATGAATAGTAGCTTATTACTCTGAGCTGTCTACTTTTCATATCGTTTGAATCTCTCTGATAGAGAATAGCTCCACATTCATAATATGAAGCATCAGTAGAAAGTTCGAATTGTAACCGTGGATCTGGTATTCTCAAAATGGGTTCAGATGTTATGATATCTATTAACGTTTCTAAAGATTTTTTACACTCATCAGTCCATTCATATGTTTTACTCTTCTGTGTCAATTGGTCCAGAGGTCGTACTATAATTCCATGATCATTGATAACACTTCAGAAATGGTTCGTTAATCCAGTAAAACACTATAGATTTCAAATCCGTTGGCCTTTTCATAGATTTTACTTTTCCTACCATTCCAGATTAAATTTTCTTTGTATCCCCATTCATTTCCCTTCCCACAAATGTTACCGCTGAGACACAAAATTTACATTTTTGAAGATTAATTTTCATATTATGACACATAATATCAACTACAAACACGACTTTCTTTCCTCTGCAAATCTTGTAGAATTTCTTGCATGATGCGTAAAAAGTGGGCACTTGAATTTTTTCGATCCGAATGGAAGACGATTGAATTCATAATGGCCTTCTTGAGTTACAAACGCTGTGAATTACTTAGTTTTTCCGAAATGTCATTATTCTAGAATCCAGCTTTCAAGTCCAATTTCGTAAAATATTTACAGTCGCCGAATTTTTCAATAATATCATCTGCCAAAGGATATGGAAATGGATCCAATTCTGTTTCCTTATTAACTGTTCTATATTCGATGCATAATCGGAAGGTACCATCATTTTAAGTTGTTATAACACATGGTGATGCATAGGACGATGTAGATTTTCTGATAATCTGATTTTCTAGTAATTCGTCGATTTTATTATTTGTTCAGATTTTCTTATTAGGTGTATATTTATATGGTTTCAATTTTGTTACTTCCGGATTTTTTTTCAAATTGAAATCTATTTCAAATGATGACGAGTTTTTATCAGGATGCTTGAGTAAATTTGGATAGTTCTTTTCAATATTAGTTTCGCAAAATTGATTGACCATGAATCTTGAAAATATTCAATCTGTTCAATGTGTCCAGTCCAGTGATAACTGTGAGGCAAAATTTTTTCACAACAGCAGGCACTATGGTGACATCGTTATCAGATCTGCATGAACATTTTGTGATTCTTATACAGATATTGGCTTTTTTTCAAGGGAAACAAATTTTTCATCACTAGATCTTCATTAAGTCTATATCTGATCCTCCATCAAATAAAACATTCACCTTGTCATCATTGATTTGTATTATATTGTGTAGCTTGGTTTTTCATCTCTTGTGTAGAATAATTTATACAAGTTTCAATTCCATTTATTTCATTTCCCAAAGAATTACAATGATTGTTAGTTATGTTATTAGGTTTGTTTCTTGTCTCAATTGGTCTGTTAGCTCTATCTCCTTTTGCCACTCCATTTTGATTATATCTGTTCAATCGTTTTCGTAGACTGCCAAATCTCAATGATTTCAAAATAGTTATCAGTTCTATCTTGGAATCAATTACTCTACCAGTCAGCTGATTTTGCACATTGAATGGCAGACCAAGAATTGTTGAAGCGATAACCGATTTATCACATAAGTTATCATCAGTCCAAGTAAGCATTCTTTGTTTTTCATAAAAGTATTCCAGAATGTTTCAATCATGAAACTTATATGACAGTGCTTTCTCCCATTCCTTCAGAAAGTGCTCATCAAAAGTATGAAATTCGAATTCCAGTTGTTCCAAGTAATTTGGTTTATAATTCCACGCTAGTGGATGATGGAAATGATGATCCAGTTCATCTTCACCAAACATAATGTTTTGCTGATTATCTCGGCCTCCAGATCCTGCTTCATGTTGGTAATCAATTCGTTTGTATTCCGATTCTATAACACCGTCCGACTGCGCCATTGTAATAGCATTCTAATATGTTCAAGTTTCAAGTATTGATATAATATTACTATTATTATTCATGTTCCTGACAACAACATAAAATAGTCGTTTCATACAATGTGTTCTATACAATCCAATTTTGAAGTTTTCTAGAAAGTATTGGATATTGTTACATCATGCTACCTCAAGTAGTTATGATGCATCCATCCATCCTGTCTAATATTTTATATTCAGCTGAACCATACATTAAACATAGGTAGACTATCTCAACTTTGGGAAACATCCATATGCTTATAGACGGCGGACCAGTCAACTAACTACTTCCATAAACTCAAATGGTTTCTAGACCAATGAGAAACCTGAGTCCAGTCCAGTCCAGCCCCTCTTATCAGTGTTGTCAATACAAAATTTCCAAGAACTGCTCTCATTTTCTGTAAAATGCTTTTTAAATTCACTAGCAGTCATATATTCACTTGCCTTTTGGGTTTGATGAAGTTTTCATTCATTTTATCAAAGTTGATAAATTTTTCAACTCTGTGTCCTACTTTTCCGTTTCTCAAGGGGAATGATCCTTGGATATAGTTCTTCAGTTTTCTATTGAATGTTTTCTGAACTGCATTTATTTGTGACGTCTGCCTAGTTATCATCATACAATAGCTCTAAAAATGTATTGGTATTGGTCATCTAACAGGGTACGGAGAGATCATAGCTCCTTCCTCTTTTAATCATCTAGTGACTTTGTTTTCATGTATTAGCGTCCCTGACATGACATTGCTGTCACGTCACATTCATAGGCGTTAAAAGAGATCTCAATCAGTTAGATGGCAAATTTGAATTTGTCAGCTTTCCATCAAATGCAAATGAACTTGAAACGTGAAGTGACCGAATGGGGAAAATTGGTAAATACATCAACAAAATATTCGAGGTAAAACTAATACGAAATCACACATTATACTTTCTCATTGTGCCTATAATTATCCACTCCACAAGTTTTTCGATGTATTTTCATAGAAACAGTTTGGGTTAAACCGGAGGATTGAAAGAAGAGGCATATGCCCTACCATTTAAAAAAGTATACCTACATTCAGGAAATATTGAGTTTTTGTGAAAAATTGCAAAAATTATTCTCAACATGAATATATACAGCACACATGACATATGAGCACATTAGTTTGAATAACTACTTAACATTTCTCACCATTTCTCAACCATAAGGTTTAGTCTGAAATCAAAATTAATTTATTGATAGGCACTGCCTAAGAACAGTCCAATTTGGTAAAAGGTATTGAACTTTCAGAAAAATGTGCTCACTGTCCCACAAAGATTATGCTGGAATTGAAAAATCGAAAACTCGAAAATTATCATCATCATTTGGATATAATATGTAGAGTTGAATGAGAAATTACATGTGGAAATTACGTGTGATTCGCCAATGTCCTCAATATTACCTAAAAAACAACAGATGTCAGAAATCTACTGTTTATTTCCAGAAATGAATAAAGATGGAACTATATAACTGTTTCACAAACACTTTAGAATGAGAGGAGATGAGGATCTGACCGTACCCTGTTAAGATAACAAATACGTCAATTTACATCAAGGGACCCTAGGTATCACTAACCTTCATATTCCTTAGTACGAGCAACTAAAAAAAATGGTTTTTAAAATTGTTCTGTCATTCGGTTGCCCCCTTACTAGCAACCCTCAGAAGTTTTCAAGACACTTCTATGAGCAAGGAATGACGGGGGCCTTACTTTTTAATGTGATCCCGAACACTTTCTTGGGCCATCAGAAAAATTTGTGCAGTCGGGATTTGAATCCACGACTGGCAAGCCATCTTGATTAGAATACTAAGGCTTCTACAATGCGGCTACCTGGCCCCCAAACTCCATGAACTGTGCAAAATAATCTGACAAAACCATATTTGATATTACCCGTTTATTATCCATACAAGACGTAGTCACAGGAATTACTCAAAATCCCAATATGTGATTTATTCGCCATATGGCTTTGTATTATCTGTGGACAAAAAAGAAGAATTTTTTGGTTGACTAACTGTATCGGTACTAGACTCAACTTATTATTATTATGATTATGTTCAAATTATTCCTGAGCAAGATAATTTTTCAGTCCACCAATTTCAGAGCAACATGAAATACTACATAGGGTTTTTGATGTAATTCTCCATTCATTTACAACTTGAAATTGATTTCTCTAATTTTTTTGTGATTTTCTAATTTCTACAAATCAAAATATTAGTATTAAAAGAAGAACAAGAATATAGGAAAGTTTATTGGATATAGATCACATTGGTATGGATAGAGAGATTACTACATTTCTTAAACAATTATAGATATTTCAATATTGAAAGTGCCTAGATATCTTACAGGCGTTTTCAATGAAAGCTTGTGGCATAAATCCATCTCTAACAGGTCGTGGTGAAGCAAAAGAGAAAAATCATCAGCCAGCCGTCGAAGCCGAGGGTGTTGATCTACAATCGTAAGATAGGAGAAGAGCTGGAAAACGAGCTGGAACCGGATTGGAACCTGATTGCAACAGCTAGTGTCGGAGAGCATAGTTTTCTTGCACTGGTCACATTGGGTGGGAAATTGTCCACTATCTCTATACAATTAAGGTGAGATGATTTTTAAAGTTTTTTTTTTATTCTGAACATTGTCATTGTGCTGCAGTTTAATGGTACATACACTAGTTTGTGAAGAGATCTATAGTTACAATTTTCCATCATTCAAATTAAGATCCTCTTGACTGGAATTGTATGGTTTTCCGATATGATATGAAAAGTCTTGAAGAATCATAATTGGTATGTACAACAGAAATCAACAACTTCCTTGGCTGATACCATGCAGAATATTGAACTACATATCAGATTGTGAGGCTTGAAACATATTCTATCTATACTGAACAACTATTTATTAGCATTCATTGTCATTTGTCATTTTGATCAGGTGTGCAGACGCGCACAATTTATTACAGCAATTTGAATGTCTAGAGTTTGACCCGTTTTTTTTAGTACTACAGCTCTTTGCAAAATTCTTGTCAAAAATGTCAACTCATTTTTGGAACTAATATCAGAATATCATATCTTCAGATGGAACCACCAGGTTTTATTCTATTTTTTGTATCCTCGCAAATTCAATGATACCATGTTTGACAAGTATATGTGAAATTACGAATATGTGGTCAATAACTCGTCCATATTCCCAATCAAACTCTTCATTGAAATATGTAATGGTAATATCAAAATCCAGATTTGAAATAAGAAACTGTTCCAGTACGTATATTGGAATTGTTATTGTGATATGCATCATCTCTATACTTATTTCTGATATAGTAGAGAGAATGGGTATGGAAATAAATTCACACAAATATTTGGTTTTTCCATTTTTCAGCATACTGTTGTATTTTTTGTATTAGGATCAACTGTCAAAACTTCTTAATAAGTTGAAATTTGTTTGGTAAAACAAAAATCACTGCAGTAAGCCAAATGCCATCTCCGATGATGTGCAATGAAAGTGTTTGCCATATCTCCAAACTGGATTTGTTTCAACGCTGATTTCAGTTATATATCTCCACTTTTCATTTTTATAATGATTTTGTATATGCAGTTGATCACATGTGCTCTAATATTTTATGTTTTTTTCATAATTGAGAAATTAATCTCATGGCCCCACGAATTTTCAACTTACTGCCAATCAACATAAAAAACTGTGAAACATTGGTTGTGTTTAAAAGAAGATTGAAAGAGTTTCTGTTACATAACTGTTTTTATAGTGTAGATGAGTATATGTCCCTTTAGTTTGTAAGACCTATTGACGATTCCTATACAAAATGAAATGTAATTGTCTAAAAAGGAAAATAAAGTTTATCTATCTATCTATCATAAACTAAATACACACGTTGATTGTCGGGTACTACAAGTGTTTGCAAAAAACTCAAACGTCAATTAATTTTTTGAACTAAACTGGTCAACATTGATAATGTCGTGCTCTAATATATAGCCTGAATTCAAAGTAGAATAACACGAATTTCCTCACCAATTTGAAATCGGTTTCCACCGATGATTAGCCTAATCTCTTGACAGTTTGTTGTGGCAATATGAAACTTCTGTAATTTCAGATAAGATTGCTACTGGGTGATAATTGAATGGGTGTAAATTGCAACGTGGTCGTCACCATACCGTTTGAACAGATAATTTAAAAAAAAAAATTTCTCTCCTGTATCCTCTTGATTGATGCTTTATCTGGAAACGTTTTCGGAATTTTCAAATTCACAGCTTTGATAATCGTGTTATGAATATTCATTCAGAATGCTGCATTTTTTCGACGATTAATTGAATGAAATTGAAAGTTGGAATTCTTCAACGTTGTATGTATAGTCGTCGGATATGTGATCGTGGTCGAACACAGAAAATTCCGAAAAAGTCTCTACAAAGTGGTACAAGAAATATTGAATGATGGAATGGAGAATAACGTAGTCTTCAGTAGATGAAACATAATTCTCTCTGTGTTAATAGTGGAATAATGGAATGTCTGGTGTCTGACCTGGTTTTGTAATTTCTTGGATCGAAGGTCATATAATGAAAGTACGCATTTCTAATCGAAATGATGCATTTTTGTTTAGATAAATTATAAAATTAAAAAAAATACGATTTCAGTTCCAGAAGTATAAAATTCATATTTATTCTTGACGATGGATATACAAGGTGCGATAAAAAATATGTCTAGATTGTCCCGGGATGAATAAGAAGGATATGTTTAAACGTGATGAAAATCGCTATGTTCCGAAAAAGAAATATAGTGTCGGTCATTGTCGAAATTTGTGAAATGTATAAATACAGTAACTTTTCTGCAGAAAAGTTACTATATTTATTGGTGCTGAATGTTGAATTTAAATCTTGTTTAGATATGCTCTATCCAATATCGAGTTTATATTCGTATACAACATTGGACAAATATATGATGCCAACTTATAGAAATCAGTTTTTTATAACTCTGTTATGTAAATTTGAAATTGAAATCATATTCACCTGCTATCAACTATGCAATCGATATTGTATTTCGTTTTTGCTACGAAAAAATAGCAATTATACATTAGCATAATATATCAGATCCATTTTCGTTTTCTGTATCCCAAAATACCAAGTTAAATGATTGCTGCGGTATTTGATGCCTCTGAGAATTGATATTAAAGAACCAATATCAGTGCAATATTGCTGGACAATGAAATGCAATATTCACTAACCATCATGAATCTGATATTGATGTTGTACCTTTTTTTTTCAAGATTGTTTCGATTTGGAAATACAATACAAATACAAAAGCAATCATAAAAATTGACATATCGTAATCATTAATATTGCGCCAATATCGAATAGATATTGGCAAATAAATATCGGCTGGTCACAAAATTTTGATGTTATCACAACATTGGCACTTGATTGATTATTGAAAATCAAAATGAAAAATTGGTTTGATATTGAAACAATCTAGTAATTCCATATTATTCAATATTCAAATATTGGGCTGAAAGCAACTTCTAGCTAATATGATGTTCAACCTGGTAAACTGCCGAGAAAAGTGATCACAAAAAAACATTTTTTGACAACAATAAAACATGAATTTTTCTTAAGTCCAGATCTGATTTTTTTTTATTGCCGTCTTGAATAGTTTTTGTAGAAAAACGTCGCTGCCAAATTTCAGCAAATTACGATGAATCTTCTCTGAAATATCGTATTTCAAAGTTATATAGCAATTTCACATAATACCCTGTGTATTGTCGTTATGGAGGGTAAAAAAATGTATGTAATATATCAACTCGTCTTGATTTCCCCTATTCACCATTTGAGTCTTCTCATAAATCACCCTGTCTAATTAATTTGTATAAGACATTATCAGATCATACTAGAGAAATTTGTATGCAGTAAATCACTTATCTATATACTTCTATATCGTATGTTCTTTTTTTCATAGACTCAATACACCCTTCTTTCTGGAACTACACCTGTTTGCATAACACCTAAAACGTCAAGTCATTTTCTGAACTATACTATCAGAATATCTTGAAAATAAGAGCTGAAGCATATCTGAATTTAAGATTAATGGCAATATGGGACACCCGCCAGTTAATAATTCAATTTTTTAACGATACCATATTTGATGGGGATATGTGAAATAATTACGAATATATGGTCATTGAACTCATCCATATGCATCATTTGAATTGGTATTTTGATATGCATCATCTTAATTCGCTTCTCTGATATAATTGAAATATGGGTCTTGAAAATAATTCACAAATATTTAGTTTCCCATTTTCATCAAACCATTTTTGTATTGGGATCAAATGTCAAGACTCATAATAGTGGTAAATAAGTTAATATTTGTTTGGTAGAATAAGAATCATTGCAGTAAGGCTAATATCTTTGATCCTTTAAATTTTTCTCCTGATGTTTGCCATATCTCCAGACTGATTTGTTTTATCGTATTATAGATTATCCCCTTTTCCATCATGTAATGAATTTGTATAATTGAACTAGATCTCAAAACTAAGAGATCTCAGATGAACAGAGTTGCCCCACTTGTCAGTAGGAGAGATAGTACTGTTTCGGCCCACCAGGCCTCATCAGGTGATCTCGGTCTAATGACAACTGGGAGAACTCAACGCTTCTTCATGAATTTTCCGGCGTCTTCGAAATGTACCCGAACCTTAGAACTGTGCCGCTAGCTGGCGATAACATGACTAGATCTTAACGAATTTGTATGCAGTAAATCACTCATATACTTTGATATCTTATGTTTTTTTTATAGACTAAATACACCTTCTACACCCTCCCCTGTACAAACTCCAACGGCTAGCAGACCAGTGAGCGAAGAGAAACCAGATCTTTATTGTGCTCTTGCAAATATGTCTTCTCAAAGATGTGCAGTCGGATGTGGCAATTTCAATAACACCCTGGTTGTTTGTGGTAAGTTCTTATAGAAAATCCATCAAAGCATTTATTATCTGTCAAACGTACTAATATTTTATCATATACATATACATTTTCTTTGGAAGAGCACTATCTGATCAATACTCTCAGAATTCCTTATGATATTATCAACAAACACCTCAAATCTTACTCCATATTGGTAAGGAATTGCTTAATCTATGAACATCATACTAGACAATATGACTTGTTTCATCTTGATGCTGCTTAGATTTAATAATGCATGAATAATCTCATACGAATCTGTCTGATTATTCATGTTATTACATTGTAAACCTCAATAAAATATATTTATATTCATATGAGATGCAATGTAATGTTTATAACAAAGAATGAAACTAAAAACAAAAAATAAATATTAAATTGTTTGGCATAACATTGGATAGTAGATTAATTTGGTCTGCACATATAACCTGATTAGAAGGGAAACTTTCAAGTTCTCTATTTGTTCTTTGGCAGCACCAGTACGCTGTAAACCACATATTATTTTTCCCTCTTTCACTCCTATATGAGCTATGGTGTACAACTATGAGGACATTCATATCATGTGATACAAATTTTCAGGATGCTAATAAAGGCTTTGAGAATTTTTGCTTAAATCGGGTACAGGGATCACTGCCAAGAATAATTTCAAAAAACTCCATCAGTCTTAGAAAATTGATTTTCATTTAAATCTTCGCATTGTATGTTCATTTATCTTCTGAATTCCAGGTGGCTATGACAGAATAGAATGCTTGCGAACCGTTGAACAATACATTCCAGAAACTAACTCTTGGAAAAACCTACCACAGATGAGAGAAAGCAGGGGCCGGTTCCAAATTGCGGTGCTGGACGAAAAAGTCTACGCCATCGGGGGCAGCAATGGTACGACGGAGTTGGATTCCGTCGAGATGTTGGACTTGTCCATTGGTAAATGGGTGAAGATGCCGAAAATGCCGTTGGCTCGAAGCAATATGGGTTCGTGCACGCTGGAAGGCCAGATATATTGCATAGGCGGATGGAATGGGCAAGTTGGAATCAAGCAGTGCGATATTTATGATCCGGAATTAGCTACTTGGTCTTCTATTGCTCCACTGAATACAGGTAAGGATTCTTTTTCAATATTTTTCCATAGTGACTTTCTGTTTATGAATTATTATAATGTAACTTGGAGCGATTTTTCCAGAATTGAGCATGTAAGACCTATTCCTATATAAAATATCATGTTTTCCATATACATAATGTTTTGTTAAAAGACTGGATAGTATATTATTCCAGGAAGACTGACTGACTGAGCACAATAAATTAATCAACTGAAATTGAGTATATGGAAGACTGGAACCTTTGGCACGATATTCACACTACACTGGTTTACCACTAACCAAACCGATATTATGAAGCCTCGAAGGCTCTAAGGTTGATTTAACAATCAACAATATCAGCATATTGTTCAATGTAAAATATACATGGCAATAAATAATAACCTTTGAGATGCTTTTTGTCTCATTCAAGGTCTGATTCCATACATAACATATGGAACACTTGTGGAAATTACGTGATTTTTGTCCTTAATGTTATCATTTCATTCTACTTTAAGTGTTATGGCTAGTTTTTAGTTCAAATAACGCCATTTGGGGACCATCAGCCACTCCCATTTCTCACTGAAATGGGAATTTCAACTATGAATAGTTTATTTGCCTCTACTCCGGGCTCTAGGTGTAGCTGTTCCCATGTTTTTAATGGCAACAGTCTCTTAAGTAAAAATTGTTAGATACCATCCAATTTGTGTTTTTTTTGGGACAGGTTTCGCTGCAGATGGCGGTTTCCAGACTATTATCTGGTAACTACCCTGTATGTCAAGTGTTGTATGTATCTATGTATGTGTGTGTGTGTGTGTGTGTGTGTGTAAGGGTGTATGTGTGTGTGTATGTATGTATGTTTGTATGTATGGATGTAGATAAGGGTGATGGGTACTCTGCGATCTATGAGATCTATTGTGCCCTCTTGTTGCTATGCGTCCTAGGACTTCTCAGGAAATGAACACCTTTTTCTTTGAGTGTTTTATTTACATGTATAATATGACAAAATTATAGTTTGTAAATTACAAGTGACAAAAAAATAACTATGCTAGTAAAACGAACATCCACAATCAGCTAATGCTGGTCTTGGTATCAGTAGATCATACTCTAGCAAACTAGTAAGTACTATTTATAGGTGAAGTAACAAAATCTAGTATGTATAATCTATCTATGATTCATTTAAAGAACTAGTAATCATTATTCGTTGATATGTATCTTGCAAAGATTTCGGGAGGACGTAATGTTTTGCGTGGCCAGGAATAAAAAATCCCTACATGTGCTTACCATAGTACAGCAGATAAGGTAAACTATTGTGCACTTTTTGAAAATGGCACCAAATTTGACACAGTGGTAGACCAATATAATATGAACGAATTCGGATGTGGAGCCATCAGCCAACTGCCCTCTGGCGAACATTTTCCAAAATGGCTTCCCTAAAGACATAAGTTGAATAAAGTTTGCTGCTCAAGGATTGTGAATGTTTGTTGAATATTTTTAATGAAATTAGGTACTTTTATAAGGTATACACTTACAATATCGGTAGGTCTCTGAAGCAAAATTATTCTGACCTCTACAGGATGTTTTTTAAACGCGTGGCTACAAGATTGATGTTTTTTTTTTTCATTTTTCGAAGGTTAATGGAAAAGATTCATCAAATTCAAATCAACTATCATTGAAAAATATCGAAAATTTGTTGCATGTATAGTTCTAGTATACTACCACATCTGAACATGTGTTCAAAGACTGCGACTTCATTTCACGGAGCACTCCCTGCCGCAAGCACTTATTTGTGTGCATCCCAAACCAGCCTTCTTGCACTTGCACTTTTTATACTTCGCATATTTACAAGAGTTGAGCTCCCTGCAGATCTTGGATGCTTCATACACAGCTGGTCTTTATCCAACCCTGCCGGTTGGTGATGGCAGTGTTGGTGCAGGAACCAATGCCTGACCCCAGGCATGTCCACCGTGATAAAATGATCTTCTAACATGCTGCTCCAGGACTGTCCTTGTCGGTGGAATCAGCTGGGCGTTGCTTTTCTTCGCAAATAGTTTGTGTCGTGTCTTGTGTGTATCGGTTTCAGTTTTTGTTCTGCCATGAAGCAGAATGATGATCCCTTCAATAGTGTGCCTAGCATCCTCATTAATATTATCTGGTGCAGTGGAGAGAAGATGAGGTGCCTGGGTCAGTTCAGGTAGCACTGTCCACACTGCCCATGCCAGCGAAGCAAGAAACCGTGTCAAAGCATGAAACATCGGTAGTGCCTGAGATTTTTCAGCACCCAGAGCCCGAGCAATCTCATGGGCTGCCAAGAACCGAAACGTCTTCTCCGAGCCGAAGGACACTCCCCCTCAGTTTCTTCATTCAAGGTGCATTAATCAAAATATGTGAAAAAATACAAGGTGTACCATTTGAAAGAATCATCAATTTTGTAGCCTTGCGTTTGAAAGACATCCTTTAGAGATCAAAATAATTATTCTTTGTAGACGTAACGATATTGTACTACATTCCCAAAATGACTCTCTACATCTCAATGCAATAGGGCCATGGAGCTTTTCCACACCACGTGAACACCCGGTACATAACTTATGAAAGGCATGATTACATCCAAAACATTCAATAAACATACACATGCCATCAGCAGCAAACCATTTTGGAAAATGGTCACCACAGCCGCCTGGGGGCAGTTGGCCGATGGCTCCACATCCAAATCTGTTTATATTATATCAATCCACCTCTGTCAATTCGGTGCCTTCATCAAAAAGTGCACAATCCATTGGAATATTCTATAAATAAAATATCCTCATTTTGATAACGTCGATTCTACTGGTACTTGTACTGGTGGGGGACGTTCACACGTCAGCAACTAGTCCCTATTGGGACCCTTTTGCAAGCCCCAAGGTGTTTTCAATGACTGATGTGGTTCGCTTAAGAGAGCTGGCTAAAATCCTATTCAGGCACCGCCCATCAGCTCTCTTTCAGATTTTTTCGGCCGTGTTTTGTAGGCTAGTAATGTACTCACTACCATATGCTGCAGTGGCAGGCCTGCTAGCTATTCTCGTTAACCCCCGTTAAAGACCGAGGTCACAGCCGTCTTCAACTATCAAGCCGTGCTGAGATAATGGCAACGTCGCACCAACGGAAACCGTCGGTCCCATTCGCGCCTAGCAATACAATGGTTTTTATATGAGCGCGAGCTTTGAATGTTTGGTTTAACGTAATCTTCTCGGATTATTTTGTGGAATAGGTAAAAAATACACGAGAGTGAACTTACAGAGTGAAGAACGAAGAATAATGTGGTTGAATAATTCCCTTGGTCATGAACTGAAGTCGTAATTTTGAACATGTTGTTAAAATAAAACTTATGGAGATATATCGAATTTTTCATTCATATCTGAGTGTTTGTCAGTTTGATCTGAGATATTTTTGAATCTAGCTAGAATATTTTCAAGTTGTGACCATCTATTCAATTTCATATCATGAGTAAGAATCCATTTCAATTCATTGAATCCAAGATTATTATCACCAAGAAAAACTTGGACCTCCATCTCATTGGATATTATAACTTGAGAAACGATTTGTAAAGTATTCACATCATTGGGATAAAAAACATTTGCTTTCAAATCTGATACATAAAAATACAATTTTTCATCAGTCTTATGGATTTTCCAAGTATCAATTTTAACTTTCTCAACATATTCCCTAACTAACTGTTCATAGTTGTGGATGAGGTCTGATTTTTCAAACTGTTCTATTATATTACTTTGAATATCTAAATATTTCTGACGTCTTTCATTTGGATCAGTTCTTTATGGTTTGGCTGGTTTTGAAAAATATTTTGGTAAATTTGGAAAAATTGAAGGAACTGCTGTTTCAACTAACTTTGGTGCTCATAACGAATTTTTTCCAATTGATCCATCTGGCAGAGGGAATGTATCATACCTAATGATATATTTTCAATAAAATGAATTGCACATACTGCAGAACGTTGAGATGGTATCCAGTTTTTTCGAGGTATTGCTGTTATCCACTTACTTCGCAATTTTTCCCCTTTCGGGAATGAAAAAACTGAGACATGATCCTTTCCCAGCTTTTTTCAGATCTGTAATTTGGCTTACATCCTGGCACACAACAATTAGAAGGCATATTTCATAAGGAATAATGATAGACAATACGGCTTTGGCCACCGAAGATCTACTGGAGATCTACTTGCCTACGTCACAAATTTATGGCAATCTTCAATAGAAAAACACGGGGAATCTCTAGCTGTCGCGTTGGACATATCGAAAGCATTCGACCGTGTTTGGCACGAAGGACTCCTCCACAAACTACCATCATACGGCTTACCACCTCAGCTGTGCCATCTCTTATCGAGTTTTCTTTCAGGCAGATCGCTTCACGTGGTGGTGGACAGTGTATCGTCTGATACCATTGGCATCAATTCCGGCGTTCCACAAGGATCAATTTTGGCACCAACATTATTCCTGCTTCATATCAATGATCTGTTGGGAGTAACAACTTGCCCCATCCACAGCTTTGCAGATGATAGTACCCTCCATACTGCGTTCTCTTCCAGAATTCCCATTTCTTCCCAGGAAACTAAGAACTCACGGCGCAGGCAGGTCAATGCTGTCAATGAAGATCTTGCTGAAATCACAGCCTGGGGAACAAACAACCTAGTTGAATTCAACGCCACCAAAACTCAAGCCTGCATTTTCTCTAGAAAGGCGGAACTCAGTATGCCCGATATTGTAATGTCTGGCTCCACCATCCCCACCAAGCCCACCATATCTATGCTCGGTATTTCCATCAGCAACAATCTTTCATGGGATAATCATGTCAGATCCATTGCAAAAGCTGCTTCACAAAAACTCGGATTCTTGTTCCGTGCGAAAAGCTACTTTACACCTCAACAGCTTCTCATGATCTACAAAGCGCAGATACGGCCTGTTCTAGAATACTGTTCCCACATATGGGGTTCAGCACCAAAACATACGCTGATGCTCTTAGATTCCATCCAGAGAA